AGGACTGATCAGTGACTGGTGAGTCGCTCCATCAGAACTAGAGGACTGATCAGTGACTGGTGAGTCGCTCCATCAGAACTAGAGGACTGATCAGTGACTGGTGAGTCGCTCCATCAGAACTAGAGGACTGATCAGTGACTGGTGAGTCGCTCCATCAGAACTAGAGGACTGATCAGTGACTGGTGAGTCGCTCCATCAGAACTAGAGGGCTGATCAGTGACTGGTGAGTCGCTCCATCAGAACCAGAGGACTGATCAGTGACTGGTGAGTCGCTCCATCAGAACTAGAGGACTGATCAGTGACTGGTGAGTCGCTCCATCAGAACTAGAGGACTGATCAGTGACTGGTGAGTCGCTCCATCAGAACTAGAGGACTGATCAGTGTGAGTCGCTCCATCAGAACTAGAGGACTGATCAGTGACTGGTGAGTCGCTCCATCAGAACTAGAGGGCTGATCAGTGACTGGTGAGTCGCTCCATCAGAACTAGAGGACTGATCAGTGACTGGTGACTCGCTCCATCAGAACTAGAGGACTGATCAGTGACTGGTGAGTCGCTCCATCAGAACTAGAGGGCTGATCAGTGACTGGTGAGTCGCTCCATCAGAACTAGAGGACTGATCAGTGACTGGTGAGTCGCTCCATCAGAACTAGAGGACTGATCAGTGACTGGTGAGTCGCTCCATCAGAACCAGAGGACTGATCAGTGACTGGTGAGTCGCTCCATCAGAACTAGAGGACTGATCAGTGACTGGTGAGTCGCTCCATCAGAACCAGAGGACTGATCAGTGTGAGTCGCTCCATCAGAACTAGAGGGCTGATCAGTGACTGGTGAGTCGCTCCATCAGAACTAGAGGACTGATCAGTGACTGGTGAGTCGCTCCATCAGAACTAGAGGACTGATCAGTGACTGGTGAGTCGCTCCATCAGAACCAGAGGACTGATCAGTGACTGGTGAGTCGCTCCATCAGAACTAGAGGACTGATCAGTGACTGGTGAGTCGCTCCATCAGAACTAGAGGACTGATCAGTGACTGGTGAGTCGCTCCATCAGAACTAGAGGGCTGATCAGTGACTGGTGAGTCGCTCCATCAGAACTAGAGGACTGATCAGTGACTGGTGAGTCGCTCCATCAGAACCAGAGGACTGATCAGTGACTGGTGAGTCGCTCCATCAGAACCAGAGGACTGATCAGTGACTGGTGAGTCGCTCCATCAGAACTAGAGGACTGATCAGTGACTGGTGAGTCGCTCCATCAGAACCAGAGGACTGATCAGTGACTGGTGAGTCGCTCCATCAGAACCAGAGGACTGATCAGTGACTGGTGAGTCGCTCCATCAGAACCAGAGGACTGATCAGTGACTGGTGAGTCGCTCCATCAGAACCAGAGGACTGATCAGTGACTGGTGAGTCGCTCCATCAGAACCAGAGGACTGATCAGTGACTGGTGAGTCGCTCCATCAGAACCAGAGGACTGATCAGTGACTGGTGAGTCGCTCCATCAGAACCAGAGGACTGATCAGTGACTGGTGAGTCGCTCCATCAGAACTAGAGGACTGATCAGTGACTGGTGAGTCGCTCCATCAGAACCAGAGGACTGATCAGTGACTGGTGAGTCGCTCCATCAGAACTAGAGGACTGATCAGTGACTGGTGAGTCGCTCCATCAGAACCAGAGGACTGATCAGTGACTGGTGAGTCGCTCCATCAGAACTAGAGGACTGATCAGTGACTGGTGAGTCGCTCCATCAGAACTAGAGGACTGATCAGTGACTGGTGAGTCGCTCCATCAGAACCAGAGGACTGATCAGTGACTGGTGAGTCGCTCCATCAGAACTAGAGGACTGATCAGTGACTGGTGAGTCGCTCCATCAGAACCAGAGGACTGATCAGTGACTGGTGAGTCGCTCCATCAGAACTAGAGGGCTGATCAGTGTGAGTCGCTCCATCAGAACTAGAGGACTGATCAGTGACTGGTGAGTCGCTCCATCAGAACTAGAGGGCTGATCAGTGTGAGTCGCTCCATCAGAACTAGAGGACTGATCAGTGACTGGTGAGTCGCTCCATCAGAACTAGAGGGCTGATCAGTGACTGGTGAGTCGCTCCATCAGAACTAGAGGGCTGATCAGTGACTGGTGAGTCGCTCCATCAGAACTAGAGGACTGATCAGTGACTGGTGAGTCGCTCCATCAGAACTAGAGGGCTGATCAGTGACTGGTGAGTCGCTCCATCAGAACCAGAGGGTGATGTGGATCAGTGTTTAGTCTGAGGAGAGACAGTGTAACACATTCTCCTCTACACAGCATGCTGGGTAAAAAGTGTTTCCATAGAGCACTTTCAAATCCCACTCTCCCGTAATCTCCTTCATTCTGCATATGTTGAGCATTACAAATAGAAAAGAAAGAGTGAAGGAAGGAGAGGACACAGCTCCAAACTTTTCTCCTCTGACTGAAGAGTGAGGAGTGAGGGGGGAGGGGTGGGAGGGAGGGGGAGGGAGGGAGAGACACAAAGGAGGCAGATGGGGTCTTTGTGAAGGAGTGAAGGAGAAGAATTTGCTCAACAATGGATGAATAGGTGAGGTAGAGGAGCAGAGGGGGGAGCACCCAACCACCTGCTGTCCTCCTCTTTCTCCTCTTTCACTCACAACACTCAGATTAACTTCCCTTTCAGCCTCTCTCTCTCTCACACACACACACACACACACACACACACTCCTACACTTTGTCACAGCACTCCCTCATTTCTCTCCCTTTCCACCTCTCTCTCCCCCCTCACGTATCTTATGGTTGGAGCATGCTCTCCTCCTCCCCTCTTACCTTTCATCTCTCCGGGCAGATGATAACATCAGCAGGACTCTCCAAACTTTGTTGTTAGTGCTGATGAAGTCTCCTCCTCACTCCACCTGCTGTCACCCCCCCCCCCTTTTGATAAACCATCAGCTGTTTGAAGGAGAGCGTCAATAGCACAGGCCACCATTACTGCCATAGAATCAGAGAGTTGACAGGAAGTCAATAACTAGGACTGGTTCCAGAGGGTACCACTGGTGGCATTCGGATTAGGGTTGAGCTGCTGCAGTGTACCCAGTCTTTAGTCAACCCTAACTGGACTACTGAAACCTCTAGTCATCAGGATCTCTCTTTATGATTCGCAGTGGTTCATTTACTACTTAAAGTGGACCTATCATGCTATATTTGAATAATATAGTGTAGGACCATACCTATATAAGGCATATTTATACTTTTTTTTTTTCAAAATACCAAACAGATCATGCATTTTAGCCATGCCTCATTTTGCTCAATTTGACATTTTTAGCTCTGTTTTTGCAAGGGCAGATTCAGTGAGAACAGCACCATCTACAGGCCTGGCATATGTACTACAGCGTCTCCAGCGCTTTCGAACGGCAATGGCCGTGGCTGTCTCCTCCTGATTGGTGGAGTTGGCCCAATAGCCGTAGCGCCACCGTCCTGACGTCAGGAAAGTGTTCAAATCTGGATCAGTTTTTATCAGATCCGTTGCAGCCCCTTTTTTAGAGATTTGGGTATGGAGGAAAATAGAGAGGGTTGTGTTTTCTGACACTTGGTGAGTTCCCTGGAACACCGGGGACACATATTCATGTAGAAAAGACGTACAAAAGTGCATTTTGCATGATAGGTCCCCTTTAAGTAAGGGTACTTGTACTTACTTGATTATTTTTTATTTCTGCTACTATACTTCTACTCCACTACAATTTGGAAGCCAATGTTTATTTTTACTCCACTACATTTATTTGACTAAAGTAAGTACTAGTCATTCTACAGATTCAGATTATTAGCTAAAACAGAATATAAATAAACTAATAAATACACTATGATGTATAATTATAGGTTAAGATATCCAGCAGCAGTATATAAAGTCATGAAAAGTAGCTACATCTTTAACAGCATCAAAAAATCAATCCAGTAATTTAATATATATGATTCTAAAATGGAACATTACGCACAATAAGTACTTTTACTTTCAGTACTTTAAGTATATTTTAATGCCAATACTTTGTATGTTTTCTTAAGTAAGATTTGAAATTAAGGACTTTTACTTGTAAAAGAGCATTTTGACACTGTAGTAGTTCTACTTGTACTTTAGTTAAGTAGTACTTCTCACACCACTGATGATTTCTGAGCAGGTCCTTTGTAATGGATGTTAGAAATGAAGAGTTATTCCAAAGTGCCAAAAAAGCGTAGTCAAAAGCAACGATTCTTTCCAGAAAACACGCCGTGGTTACGGAAGATAATCCTTGATGTGAGCAGTTGTATTATTTATTATTATTTGTTTTCTACTTAACCCCGCTAAATGTATCACTGAAGGAGCGGGCACTGCTGTTGTGGTTTACAAATGTATTCTATATCGCCATCTAGTTCCATCATATTAGAGAGAAGGCAGATGTCCAACACTCAACAAGTCACTGCAGAACATCTAGTTTGAGAAATAACTCCAGATATTAGAGTGAAAAAGTGCTGTTGGTTATGGGATGAAGTGTTCCTTTAAGCTCCACCTGCTCACCCTACTGAGAGACAGGCCAGCAGCTGTCCCCTCCTCACAGCATGTGGACAGAACTGTGATCCCCTCTAAACAGACAGCTGGACTTCCTGTTACCACTCTTAGGCTGTGCCGTCATCATTTGCTCCAAAATATTCCAAACTCAACTTTGGTGGAAGAAAACGTAAAAAGAAAATCAAGCAAAGACCAAAAATGTTCCAGCATCACCTTTATACAATACCATACCATACCATAAAGGTTGATTGTCAGATTGAGTCTGAAACTAAGACAAGATACAAGATACAAGGGAACAGAGATGGAACAAAACGTCAGGATCCCTGAAGAGAGACGTGCTCCAGACAGCACGGACACACTGATGACCCTCTTTCTGCTCCCTCTTCCTTCCCTCAGTGATCAGCTGTTTACACAGACATGATCAGTTATGATGTGAATAAATAAGAGAGCTTTTATTCAACGGTGTGTTGTGTTGCAGGGCTACCACCCCTCCCTGCATCCTGACTACCAGCAGTTGGGAGGAGCCATGCTGAATGGTGGAGCAGTGATGTCATCAGCGGTGGACTACCATCAGCTGGGTCGACACACGCAGAACCAACACCCCTCTCTGGACTGGAGTACTGATTACCATGGCAACGGGTAGGTGCTAGGGTTCACTTTTGGATATATAAAGAGTTAACTGGGTGAGGCTACAGGTGCAGGAATGCAGGACTTTTACTTGTAACAGAGTATTTCTACTCTCTGGTACTTCTACTTTGACTCAAGTACAAGATCTGAGTACTTCTCCTACCTCTGCTGGGGGGAACAGGACAACTCTGATACAAATAAATACATCATCAGCTTTTAATGTTTAATATTTTTACATTTGAAAGTGGATTGAAAAATCAAAGTGAGCTGTAACAGAGTATTATATTTGTAAATGAAGACACAGCTGCACTGTTCCTTACGGCCGCCTGGTTTTCCTGTTTGATATTTATGTGTTTCCCTCTCCTCCTCAGCGGCCTGCAGAGAGACAAGCCTCTCTATCTGAGCTAATCTCAGGACACCATGACACCAAACCTCAGCAAGCCCTTCCACTGCCTCACCACCAACCTCCTGAAGCACAGAGCACCTCCACCTGGGCACACTGAGTAAAGGGATGTGTGTGTGTGTGTGTGTGTGTGTGTGTGTGTGTGTGTGTGTGTGTGTGTGTGTGTGTGTGTGTGTGTGTGTGTGTGTGTGTGTGTGTGTGTGTGTGTGTGTGTGTGTGTGTGTGTGTGTGTGTGTGTGTGTGTGTGTGTGTGTGTGTGTGTGTGTGTGTGTGTGTGTGTGTGTGTGTGTGTGTGTGTGTGTGACTACAACAGGCCAGTGTTAAGAAGTGTCATGTCCCACGGCTGCTCTGTTGTTGGCTGGGTCTTTTCTACATGCTATGCTCTGAATTTAAATCATGTTTAGGAGAGGTGTGCAGGTCCTGTGCTGTGCAACATGATAACATGTGTATATACCCCCCCCCCCCCTCATCACATTTTGTATCCAAAGGCTCCTGAGAGCGGCTGTAAATGACTGTAACATAATAGTTTGATCTGTCCGTTTAAAGCCAAGACGTTTGTCCTCTCTGACCTCACAGTGGCACCAACAATAGTTGGATAACCAAATAACACACACGCTGTGTTTCCCCGCTGGTTCTTTAATTGTTAAATATAAGCATTGGATTTGTAGTGCTGCACAGAGTGATAATGACTGAGTTCACTCTGCTGTGGAATACAGAGGTAGAACGGCAGTGGAGGCTGGCTGTGAATAATAATAATGATAATAATAATTGTGTACGATTAAAGAAATGTCCTTGTTGTCTCGCAGTGAGGCTCAGATCTGCAGGGTAGAAACTCTATGTATTTTAGTCCTTGAAATAATGAAATGTCAAACAATTCTTTGTTTAAAAAAAAGAAAAATACTCCTTTGTATGATGACAGCTCCTCCTCCTGGCATATGTCTGTTGATGATATTGATTTGGATCCAAACTGTGTGTGTGAAGTGTTAATGAGAGAGTGTGTGATGGGTTGCATGGTCTCTTTGTCCTCTCTATTTCTCTGCTCACAGAGGCTATTTAAAAAAGTATCCGTGTTGCCGGGCGGGCTGTTTTAATGTTGTTTTTTTAATCAAATCAAGTTTTGTTTTAGTGTTAATGATGATGCTCTGTATCTCTTTGTATTCATGTGTCTTTTGGCAGATGAAAGGACTCTGGGCAACAACAACCATGAAGATTTTCTTATTTTTAGATTCTAATAATGTGTTTGAATAAAGTCAGGCTGCATTGATGTGCAGTCTTTACTCCAAACCCGCTTCCTTCTCCTTTGTTCGTCCTGGACACTTTGTGACAGCCGCTCTAATTACCTGCACGTGGTAATGTAAAGCTGTAGCTGCGGCTCAGGAAGCTGCTGCTCCTGGCCTTTGCATTCATGGAGAAGTAGCTGAGCTGTAATTGCTAAATAAATGTCTTTGAAGTCTCAGAAAATATGTATTTTTAAGCTTCTCTGAACTCTTATTGGGTCTTTAAAAATAAATGTTATACTCATGGGAAAGAGTCCCATTAACTTTGCTGATCACTGATTGGCAACAAATATGAAGTGTGGAGGTCATCTGACTTCATCTAGTGACATCATCAGGTCAACATTTAGGCTGCCTTTACACGGGAACGTTTGCGTTTACGCACAGTATGCGTTTTCAAAAAAGTCTTCCGTTCACACCATGGGCGTCGCAGCCATTATATGAGGGTGGGACAAGTCCCCCCCACCTTTTAAAATGATTAGTTTAGACCCCCCCACTTTTACTATGCGGAAAGTCCGTGAATCGGTCTATCCACTCGCCACTCTCTGTGGAGCGCTGTGTCCATTCCACTTGCTTATTGAGAGAATGCCCAAATCAATGAAACTCCGTCCCATGTTTTCACTGCTACTTTGTACCAAGGCAGATTCTCAGAGCCGTACACATGAGCCGTACACATGCTGCGTTTTTTGTGTAGCTGTGTCTTTAGTTGTCAAATGATGCGCGCCACAGTTTCCCCGCTGCGAGGCTCCGGCGCTAACAGTTCACGAGCGTGCTCCACTAGCACCCGGATATAAGGCGCTGTTATTAAAGAGGTGGAGGGAGAGTCCTCTCCTGTCAGACTTTTATAGTTGTAAAAAATAAGAGAATAACAGGTATAATAATATTCCAACTCATACTATCGGACAGTAACACAAAAATACAGTTTAAATGAGTGATTTGTAAAATATGCATAAAGAAAAAGTAAATATGTTTACAGTTCTGTTTCATATGGATGTTGAGAGATGTATCCATAGATTTAGTCCCTCATGTTGCTCTCAAAGTGCAGCAGATTGATGCTTTTAACTTCAACATTTAAAAAAAAATCTTCCCGGGGGAGCATGCCCCCGGACCCCCCTAGAGGAGGTGAGTTTCACCACCCGCCCACACCCCCTGTCAAATTGTCCCACCCACATTGAGGATGCTTCCTACGCCCATGGTTCACACGCATTCGATTCATTTAACGTGTCCATAGACTGTATATATAAATGGACGTAGTGTCCGTGACGTCACCCATAGGATTCTGCAGAGTTGCCGAGAAGCCCTGCGGCTCCGTTAGCTCCGGCGGCCACCACTGGGATAATTGGGTCCCCTTTTAACATTTGCTCCCGTTTAGCATTATGGCCATAGCCATATACTATAAAAGTCTTACCCAAGGCTGAATCATAAACTAAACTGTATATATATATATATATACATGTATAAAGGGTTACGTCCTTAGCTGGCTAATAAGCTACATAACAAGCTAAGCTAACAAGCACACAAACACCTGCTAACGGGGTTAACATACATAATATTATCATTTTAGACTTCTTGGAAGTTCTGTTAGTACATTCAAGCGCACAGCACGACATTTTAATTGTCTGGTATTTGTAACAATATTCCCTAAAAGGCACAATCACCACGAACACGGCTAAAGGGTCAAGTACAGTAACTACAACTAACTAACGTTGTAGCCTAGCAGAGTGGACAAGTTGCTGTTAACTGACAGTGAGGCACGTACCTGTCCATCAAAGTGACCACGCCCTCATTTATGCAAAAACTTTAAGACCTAATATAAATAAAAGGGTCGCGTTAGAAAACAATTCAGTCACAGATTCATAATCATGAAGGTGGAATCTAACTATATCCATAATAATATTTATTGCATCCAGGGGTAGAAACATGTTTTTTTCTGCTGTAAAATTGGGCATTTTAACATGGAAATTGCTCCTTTCTGCAGTCATCGTCTATCGGCCAATATATGAACTGCAGTTTGTGGCACTTCCGTATTGGCGTCCCGGCTCTTCCCCAGAGTTTGCCGCTTGGTCTGTTCACACGAGACCGCTCGACCCGCTGGAAACGCTGTAGTACATATGCCAGGCCTGTAAGTGGCGCTGCTGCCACCACAAAATACACCAAAAGCAGCGAAGAAGACCCCGGAGCATGGTTGCCATGGTTGCCCTTCTGTTTATGCCCCGCGGTGGATTTAGCAACGTGTAGTAGTTCATGTAATTCTCCATGTCCACTTGTTGCTGATGGTTGTGGTAGAGGAGCTGTAGATTTTGCACTAATATCTGTAGCATGGTCGAGCTGTAGATGTTGCACTAACATCTGTAGCATGGTCAGTAGCAGTAGCACTAGCAGTAGTTACTGACAGTAGCTAGTGACCATGCTACAGCAGTGAGCAGCAGAGGTGGGGAGAGGCGGGGCTATGGCTTCATCTATCGGGAAATGTTCGTATAGAGGCGATTACACGGAGCCGTTTGACCCCCCAGAGCGTTCCGTTTGCAGATCTATCCACCTTGGGACCCGTTATCGTTTGCGGGGTCCGTTTCTATCGTTTTGTTACGGCCTCGTGTAAATGAAAGGGCTATACGCAAGAGAAACTATGCGGATACAACCCGTTTCGTTCTTGTGTAAAGGGGGTCTTAATATCATCTCTTTCTTTGGTGTGTGACCAAACACCTGGAACCTCTAAGCAACAGAATGTGAGTTGGTCATGAGTACATCAGTAGGTTTGGTGAATAGAGGCTTTGCAACGTTTCCTTACACGTTGCTGTGATCTGGCATCAAACCAATAAAACAAGTAGATGTTATAAACATCAAAATGGAGAGAGCTTTATTACTTTTAATTGTCCTTTCATGTCGGCTGGTATCGGCCATGTTTCATACCAATAAATCCAAGAGCAAGAACATGTGGGTTAAATGTGAACTACCCAAAATTCTGCAGAAATATTCCCATAACCTTTCTCAAAAAGTCAAAAACCACCAGCTTTTTGTGCAATTGAAAATGTTTCATATTCTTTCCTTTTCCAACAGCTTTTATAATGCAATACTTCCAAATGCTCATAAAAACACATATTAAAAGAAGCCCAGCTCTTTGATAAAGCCGCTGTAAAGAACCTGATCAGAGAAGAGCAGAACACAGAGCAGCTGGCTGCTAGCTGACGGAGCTTTGAGTGTGGAAATGAGAGAATAAAGTGTCGCTAACAGGCTCCCTGTAAAGAATCACTCGGTGGTGATGTGTCCAACATGGTGATGGTGTTCAGCTGCTGGAGAAGTTCTGCCTTCAAGTGTTCCTCCAACAGATCCATGCTGCTTCACTGAGGACTTTGAATGTAATAGCAGGCTCGGGGAGTAATAGATTACATGTAATGGGATTACATCAACAGGATACCAAAACAAAAGTAACTGTATTCCCTTACTGTTACATTTCTAAAAACAGGGATTACTTGCAGGATTACAGTGTATCAATAAAGATGGATACAATACAGGAAGACGTACTGCTGGAATCTTCTTTAGCCTTCTTTCATTCTTTATTTTAAATATATTTTTTATGCAGTAGGGGGACATCTGATTTATTAAAACGAGTTTCTTGTCATTAATATAACAACTAAAACACTTTTTGTATGCTCTTCTATTCTGTAAGTCTAGCCTGAATTTAAGAGGACACATTTCTGGTCCTGAATATCTTGCTTTCTGCTTTTCTAAGGTTACGTTGTTCTGTTGTCTGGCTTTATACACTATAAACATCTTACTGTTATTTATTTCTCTTGTATTTATTTGCATTGCATTTGATATTAAGGTCATCCATAAGTAAAATAAAGTAATCAGGTTACTTTTGTATTGTGATACTCAGATACATCAGGTAC